GGTTGCTTTTGCTATTGAACAGGATATTTGAAAAGGGACTTCCCAGGGAAGAATTGGTGTGTGTTAGTGGTGTGGACAGACTAAGCATAGAATAATGCAATAGAGTTATGGATTTTGAAGATGAATACAATGTTAACAGTAGCTTAAAGATCTAACAAAAATCTCTTCTAGGGTGATTTAATCTATATAATACAGACAGTTGAAATGTGAAGCTGTAGCTATTTCTAGCTGTGTACAATCTGAAAGCTGAAAAGGTTCAGCTAGGTTTCTCAGTGTGCTTTATTTATAATGTGGCATTGCAAAAAAAAAAAAAAAAAAATTGCTACTGAGCTCTTTCTTGTCTATATCACCTTCTTATCCATTTTTATTCCACATTCTTTGGATTCTGAGATTTTTTCAGCCCAGTCATTTCAGTTTTGAATCCCACATAAGCGTATCTCACTTGTGTCCCTTGACAGCCATGGGCATTGTTGCCTATGATAAGGAAAGGACAGAGCCCAGCAAAAGCAGGGCCTGGCAGCAACACACAGCACAGCCACGCTCCATAGAAAGAAAAGCTGTGGCAACCCAGCTACATTAGGTTGAGCCATGGTTTATTTGTGGTACTGTTTATCTGTTCTTGAGTCACCACTATGTACATTTATTAGCACGAAATATGTACCTTATGTGTTATTTTTCTGAATCTAAATTTCAATTAAAATGTGAGTTTTTGATCTGTAACAGGAGCATGACTATCTTAATTCAAACATATCAGGTATGTTTAGCCAGAGCAAGTTTTCTTTAACTGTAGCTTTAATAGCATTTAAGAACCCAGCCCAGTGATTTTGTTAGTGTTTTAGTTTTCTGACTAACAATTACTGATCAAAAAGTATGTGATTTGAAATTGTACCTATGCATTATACAGTACAGTCGCATTAAAGAGACTCTCTAATTAAAAACATGTCTGACGTGATTTTTATTTTGCAACTAAAGCACTGCCACCCCTTTCTCGTGAAAAGGTGGGTAGTGGGAGGTGTGCAGACAAAGTTTAGAACAAAAACTGCTCAGTCACAGACTTTTAAATTACACTTGCTTTAATGTGCATATTTTTCACCTGCAACTTGACAAACAATTAAGAGTTGCATGTTGCTCTCTAAGCAAATTTATGGAAGAACCAGAAGCAAGGCTTTTACTAGTTGAAACAGAAGTCAGGATGTCCATTTTCTTTGATAGTTACTGAGGTCTGATTACATTAATTAATTAAGCTTCTGACACTTTCTAAGCTAGCAGGAGTAGCTTATGGTGAAAGACCTGAAGCATTTTCCTTGACTTTTGGAAATCTAAAGCCCAAACAAATCCAGGGACAGGTGCCACTCAGTGCATCACTACTTTAAAGATCCCTGTGGACTTCAAAGCAGGTGTGCACATACGCACAGTCCCTTATGTAAGGTGTTCAAAACCTGTTCCTCTACTGCTGCCACTGCCGCCCAAGATCATTAAGCTACAAAGACACAGGTCAAGCTGATGAACACCTTCACTACTTAATGATGTACACGTGTGCCAGCGTCTTCAAAGTCTCCTATCTGCCACCCTCTCCCAGAATAATCCTGGCTGTGCCTGAGCACTGTTCTCTGTACTGATACCACAGAGGTATAGATAAACTCATTTTTTGTTTCCCATTCAAATAAAACCCAGAAATACATTCAGTACAAAAGAGGTGGTGTTACAGGTGACATCACAGGAAAAAAACGACTGGTAGCACCTAGTGAATAAAAGACCAAGACACAGCAGTGACATGTGTCAACTCAATCAAAATTAGGAAAACAAGCAGTACCAAACCAATGCTGTTTTCAGCAACTTCATTTTACTTTCAATAACGTTTCAGGATTCAATGGATAGCCACAGAATTTCATTCAGTAATGACAAAACATGTTTAGATTTTGACTCTCTACCTATCTAGCACAAGGAAGCAGGCTGCAAGTATTTGAGAATGTTTCTTACAATATCTGAGTCGGCTGTTCTGATTATCCTAATGTATAACTTCAATAGTGGGCATCTTTCCCATTTCAGCATAATTAAAGCATTTATATACAGAATTACAAAAGGCAAGTGAGATTTTTACATAGATCAGCCGCCTCATATGTCATCCTGAAT